CGTAGACGGCTCCGACTCCAAAGACGGAGGCGTCTGTGATGACCCAAATGGGCTCATCGACCTTCGGGTCGATGGGCTTGAGTATGGGTGCGCGACTGGCGAGCGCTTTGATAGCTTCAAAGCACTTGTCATGCAACGCACGCCATACGAACGTACGTTCGTTGCGACACATCTCTGATAATGGAGATGTGTAGCCACTTATCTCGGGCAGGAAGTGCGCGAGGTAATTGACCAGTCCAAGGAAGCGTTGAACTTCCTTGTACGAACGTGGCGTACGCCACGTACGGATCCGTTCCATTTTGTCGCGGTCGGCATGCAGTCCTCGGTCATCTATTAGATGACCCAGGCAATCCATGCGTCTTGAATACAAGTCGCATTTCGTTTGACTGAGGAAGAGCTTCGCCTTCCTCAGTTTCTCGAACACTATCCCTAGATGTTTTTCGTGTTCTTCGATGGTATCGGAGAACACAAATATGTCATCTAGGTATACATGTACGAACCGACCAATGCAATCTCTAAAGATTGCAGTCATCAGCGACTGGAAAGTCGCTGGTGCGTTGGCGTCGCCTTGTTGCATCACCAGGCTGAGGAACGTGCCGTATGGTGTAGAGAATGCCGTCTTCCAGACATCCTCCGCCACGATACGAATCTGTTCGTACGCGTCGGACAGGTCAATCTTTGACCTGAACTTCGCTCGAGCCACATCCATACGGATCTGGTCTTGGTCAGGGAAAGGCGTTACGTCTTTCCGCGTGTTGTCGTTGCGCTTCCGCGCATCGATAACTGTACGCAGCTTGCCCGACTTCTTCGCTATGCAAAGAAGTGGGGCCGCTTGACCATTCGGAATCTGGGAAGTCTGGATGGGTTGCCACCATCCCGCCGCCGTGTACCGTTCGACCTTGTCGAGCAATTGTGGCTTCATGGCCTCCGGGCACCTTGGCAAGTGGTACCGGAGAGACAGGTCAGGGTCGATGAGCGGTATGCGGTGGTTCACGTCTCGAAACGGCGGTAGTTCGAGAGGTGGTGGGCACATGATGTCCTCGCACACCTCCATCCATCGTTCCCTGTTCGCGACGACCTGCGGGTCGTCGTCGAGTGTCTGCCGAACTTCCTCATCCTTGAGGAAGTTCAGTATGGCCCTGTCTACCTCGTCGTTTGTACCCAGTGGGTCCAATCGACCGAGTGAGTCCCGACGCGGCTGTTGCGCTGAATGTACCATAGGTACATTGGTTTCCGCGATGTCCGGCATTGCGGTGATATGTCGATTACCTGTTCGTACAGGTACCTTCCGCCGGCTCATCACCTCTGGTTTCAGACGTGGTGGGTCGGGTATCTCACGAACTCCCGGTCCGTATTCAGTAATGTCGGGTACCACCTCCATGCTAGGACGTGGTACTTTCGCCTTTTTTACTGTTTTGTCTGGTACCACCTCCAAGTTCGGACGTGGTATCGAGTTTTTTGTTGCTATTTCCACCAAGGAATCGACGGCGACGTCGATCCCCTCCCCCCTTGAGACCATAGTCCCCTCTTCAGCGAAGCGAGACTGGGGGGTTGCACCGCGGTGGATCTCGCCGTGCAACCCTATTGTCTCGAGGAGGACGCGAGACGGAGTTGTGCCGTCAGTCGCGCACTCCGTGTATCCCGTCGATGCTCAAGGACCTCCGCCTCCTGGGCCACCGTATAGGCCGGCACCGCCACCCCGTCAACCCAAATCTGGTGGGTGCGGAAGTCTAGGACCACGTTGTGCTTGATGCAGAACGTGGTTCCCAGAACGACATCGTACCTGTCGATGTCAACTACATCCATGTAGTTGACACCGTTCACCGGACCGACCTGGATACGGGGGCGTGCACCATAGTTGATGGTGGTGCGACTACCCTTCGTACCTAGTTGTAGATTGAGGGGCTCCCTCAGGTCTACCCTGTCGGCCTTGGATAGGAACGCTAGTTCTGGAGACATGGCGTCGGTCGTACACCCTGTGTCAAACAGCGTGTACGCCTTCACGCCATTGACATCGATCTCAGCGCAGAGTGTCCGAGTTGCCTCGGGACTGCGTTCTGGCTGATCCGCCGGCTCGGAGGTCCTACGGATCTTCGAGTCGTACAGCCAGGCCGCCTTCATAGTGCGGGCTGGCGGTAGTGTTTGTATCGCGCTCATTCGCGTAATGTCCGTCATGGCGGCATTATACGATGGGTGTGCCAGGTTTTCCTGGCTCACCCGAGTCGACGATCTGCGTTCGACACGCATCGCACGGAATGTCATGAGTCCGAGCTGTGCTACAGCTCCGTCTTCATCGTCATACTCGTCCACAGGAGACTCGTCTCCTGGGTCGTCGTAGGCGTACTGCGATCCACCATACTCAGATTGAGGGTGGTCGATCGTATTCCCGTTGTCGTAGTCTTGCACGTCCACCATCTGGTCGACGTGCTCGGTGGGCTCGGGCTGGACATGGACGAATCCATCGTCCTGGTCCTCCCCACTGTCCCCCGCAATCCGTGCGGCATACATGCGGCCCGTCTTGCTGGGCGGCAGTCTACCACCGTTCTTACACTTCTCCTTCTCTCGAGAAGTGTGTCCGGGCTCGCCGCAACTCCAGCACAACATGGTGCCACCACTCGCACCAGTGGTCGTCTTCCCTGCTGGTGCTGGTGTGGACTTCGGCGGGCCCTTGTCGCTGACCACCACCGCCTTAGGCAGCGGTGGTGTTGGCTTCGACGCCACCACGGCCCCCGCACTCGGTCGGGTCATGAATCGAGCGAATGGGCCAGTCGTCCTAGCACGACCGGCCAAACCTGCTGGAGCAGCAGGTTTCGATGTACCACCACCATCTCTGGTGGTGGTGGTTGACGGGGTCGCCTTAGAGGCCGCCGCCGACAACATCGCGAATTCGTAGTCGCTCGCTGCCTTCACCATCCTGCCGAACGAGGATCGTTCGGGAGAGATGTAGGAGACCTTCCGTAAGGTCTCCTCCATGTCCGAAGGTAGTGCCGCTAAAAAGCGCCGCTTCCATTCATAGTCCCCAGGACGCTCCGTCATGCGGTCGGCGTACTGGGACATCCTATCGAGCAACTCGGTGACCCCACCATTCTTGTGGTAGGTCACCTTGTTCCACGATTCTGCAGCCTTGATTTCACCATCTTGGTGAATGAATCGCCGGTGCAGTGCGGCGATCGCTTCCGCGAATCGCCAATGTCGCCTCGTCCGTCGAGGGGACTGTACGTGACGGAAGTACCAATCCTTGGCACTGTCCGTCAGCGCATTCCCAGTGAGCCGTAGCCGGTCCATGTCTAGACGTGGACCCGTTATTCGGAGCACTGAGAAATACGTTAGCAGTTCGAAGAGCCACTCTTCGAACCGGTACAGGTCATCGGTGCCGGCCCAGGTGGACGGCTTGTCCATCTTGGCCGACCTCAAATAACCAGGTGCTTCGCCATCTGGTTCATCGCTCACCAATTCGTCGATCATGCCGAGGCATCGATCGAGAGAACGACTGGTATTGTGCGATGGGCCATCCATGTCCCTCTCGGAGATGGATGGGCCGTGGTCATGAATACTGCTACCTTGCATGTACGAGTACATGCCTTGGTAGTCGTATTCATGGCTTGTTTGCCCCGAGGACGGGCTCGAGCCACCTACGCCTGGTGGGAACGACACTCGTACGCCCTCCCGGGAGTACGTGGGTCGTTTCACGGACGTCGGGACTTCCTCGCGGAAGTACCGTCCGAAAGATTCGCGAACAGGGGCCTTTTGAGAGGCACTAGCCTGCGAGCGCAAACCCTCCGCGTGAACATGCGTGCCATGCTTCCGTTCCGCAGGCGATGGGGTGGCTGGGCCTGTGCCCTCAGCTTCCTCGTCGCTGCTCGACACCGACGGTCGTCGAAATGGCGGAGGTGGTGCTCTCGTCGGCGGGGACGATGGGTGGTGAGGGCGGTAGTGATAGTGGATACTATCATATTCCGGCCCCGACGTTCGGTACGGCGACCTTACCTTTCGACTACTACCTGAGGTCGTAGTCGTCGTCGCCGACGGTATGCGTGCGCTTGCCGCTCGACGACGTAGGTATGCCTCCTCCGATTCACCCTTCTGTCGAGGGGACTTAAGCGCCTCTGTCGCTGCCTTGAGGACCGGGTCTTCTTGGTCCTCTGGTCGGGGTACCTCCTCTGGAGGTACCTCTTCACCAGCCCATGGAGTCTGTATAGACTCAGCGTCGCTCACGACATCGGTGTCGTCAGCGGCCGCCTCTTGGGCGCGGATGTTCGCTATCTGCTTATCAGCCTCACCTAAGGCTGCGTTCAACTTAGTTTCTAAGTTGCTGGTTTTTTGGTGCAGCTCCTCGCGGAGCTCGCCCAGGGTTCTCCTGAACCCATCGAGAAAGTCCAGTGTCTGTCCTGCCTTGCGGGATCCCTTACGGGATCCTGCGCGGGAGCCAGTCGCACTGGACGTTCGTGACCGTGGTTTGCGCGGTTCCGCCGTCGCACCCACAGAGTGCTCCTTCACAGGCGCACTCTTCCCTTCTTCGGGCCTTAGGTCCTCACGCTCCTTCTTAATAGAAGGGACGAAGAGGCACCATGTGGTTGCGATGATGTCTCGACCTTACTGGTCGAGGCTTCATCACTGGGGTTGCCTTTCGGGGCATTCAGTGACGACGGGCTCGTCGTCATTGTTGATGCTTTCCGTTGAAAGCGGCCGCGGCTATCTCGTTGCGGTAGCGGCCTGCCTGTTCTGTCGTACTCCGTGATGGAGTGAGGTTATTGGTTGATTGATCGCGCTCGACGTGTTCAACGTCGTATTCGACCGCACGCACTTCTGTGTAGAAGTTCGAGCTTTCGAAGGAGCGTAAAAAAGTGTGGCGCCCCCTTACTCACGCCGTGATACGCTGCACCCAGTCTCTATTCCAGAGTGGTGCGGTATCGGTGACGAGTGTAAGAGAGCTGGCTCCCACACTCGCTGGCGCCGCCCTTAAGGGACGGCGCCTACGCACGCGATCGTAGATACATGATATGTCCGGATATGGTAAATACGTGAATGTAACGTATCCACGTTACACTTCTATACACAAAGTTTAGTACTGACGTCTTCTGTAGGTCGACCATGTGACGAGAACGGACATTATCTTCCACCTGGGACACAACCACCACCACCGCGACCAGTCACCAACTTTGCGCCTTTCCCCGACCGCCCATCTTTCGAATTCGCAGAACTTACTATCGAGAAGATGTCAACATCTCGTGAAGACGTCGATCATCTTCTGCGTATTATACGTGCGAAGAATATTCTTGACGGCATTGAAGAGCCTGATTCCGGACTTTTTCCTGGGCTGTCCACCGAGCTGCTATCCACCCTCGATGACATTCCCTTCGGCGATATCCCATGGTCGTCGTTCAAGATTCGCTGGTCTGGTCCTCTTACCGCGACATCGCCTGCATGGAAGAAACAAAGCTACGTTGTACACACGCGCGACCCGCTTGCAACCCTCGAAAACACTCTTGGCAACACTGAATATAAGAATAAGATTGACGTGTGTGCGTACAAGGAGTTCACGCCCGGTGGGAAGCAAAGGTGGTCTAATTTCATGTCGGGGCTGTGGGCTTGGAAAGAGTCGGTACGTCTTACTCTATCCTCTACAATGTGTGCGTTCGAATCATGGCTTACCGCATGCAACAGAGCAAGATCGCGCAGGATCCAATAGCCCGTGGTGCGATGCTTGCCACAGCTGTCGTCGGCGCTGATAAGACGACCGTATCGGTTGCAAGCGGTGATCAGGAGTTCCACCCCGTGTACGTCTCGCTGGGGAACCTACACAATGACGCACGGCGTGGGCATGGAGAGTCAGTGATCCCATTGGCATTTCTAGCCATTCCCAAAGGTGTGTCGAGTCCGAACTCTGCCCACGTCACCGCGAGCTAATGGCAGGTGCTTCCTAGGTTCAAATGAAGATGAGAATGACGCCGAATTCCGTATTTTCAAAAAGCAGATCTACCACCGATCCCTCGCGCATATCTTCGAGCCTCTCAGGCCGTGGATGACGACCCCGCGCGTGACGCTCTGCCCAGACGGTCACTTTCGCCGGGTGATCTACTCGCTCGGACCGTTCATCGCTGACTACCCAGAGCAAGTCTATCTCTCTGGGGTTGTCCAAGGGTGGTGTCCCAAGTGAGTCTACGAGTCAGCGAGTGATCTGTGCGTGTATCCTTTGCTGAACTCTGTACCTCACAGATGTTTTGCTCCCCCCGACGAGCTTGGAGAAGGAGATCTGCGGTTCCGAGAGGTGACACAGCTCATAAAGGACACATACTCACATGATCCCGACATTCTGTGGGATGCATTTGGCATTGCACCGGGGGTTAAGGTACGTCTAATACGTTGAACTGGAAATCTATGCTGATACAATGTAGCCTTTCACGGATTATTTTCCGCGTGCAGATATTCACGAGGCGCTTTCGCCGGATCTCTTACATCAGTTAATCAAAGGTACCTTCAAGGATCATCTTGTCGAGTGGGTCGTCGACTACATCAAGATGAACAACTCAGCTCGTGATGCCAACGCAATCATTGATGATCTTGACCGTCGGTGAGTATTCCCTCTGTCGTAATCTATTGCCATTCACTCAATTGCTCCTCTCTGGCATAATGGTAGGCTTCGATCAGTACCAGCATTCCCCGGTCTGCGGCGCTTCAAGCAAGGCCGGAACTTCAAACAATGGACGGGAGATGACTCAAAAGCTCTCATGAAGGCGAGTCCCGTCTGTCCCTTGCTTGATGCGGCTGTGTTAACCACGACTCGGAACGCACATCTCAGATCTTTATCCCAGCAATAGCCGACGTCGGAGTCCCTGACCGTGTCGTTGAATGTGTCCGGTCCTTCATGGATTTTTGTTACATCGCTCGGCGGTCTGCTCATGACGAGGACTCCTTGCACCTCATGGAGACTCATCTACGTCGCTTCCACGAGCTTCGTGAGGTCTTCCGCGAGGAAGCTATTCGTGCAAACTTCGCTTTGCCACGACAACATGCCCTCATGCACTACGTGCGAGGGATCAAGCTCTTTGGCTCTCCAAATGGTCTCTGCTCATCGATTACAGAATCCAAGCACATTCGCGCAGTCAAGAAGCCATGGCGCGCGACAAACAAGAACAACCCACTGCAGCAGATTCTCAAGATCAACTGCTGGTTGAGCAAACTTGCCGCTGCACGCTCTGTTTGGGGAGCTCATGGATTGCTTCAGTACGACGTCCTCACGGCTGCGCGACACCATGTCCATCCGGAGTACTTTGACTCGGATGACGATGAAGACAACAATATCGGCCCTCACCTGGCTGACGAAGACGAACCCAATGGAGCAGACGATGAGGGAGGTGATGCGGACAATCGCCACTTCAACGACATCGCTGACGTTGCAGGCGAACCCGAGCCGCTCTCTATAGAGTTGGCAAAGAAGCCAGGTACTATGCTTCTTGCGTCTCACAGAGATTATGCTAATCAATCATCGTCAGCGTATTCGCGACCAATCACACGCCTTGACCTTGACCCGAGGCTCAAAACTCTCTTGCCTGGCCTCATCCGCCGCTTCCTTTATGACCAGCTTGACCCTCCAGCAGACTCCGACTCCGACTCTGACATCGAGCCTGAGGACGTGGACATCGAGGACTGCCCTCGCTTCCACGGGCATGTCGCTGTGTATTACAGCGCACGCGCTCTCTTTTATGCTCCGAGCGAGCTGTCTGGGCCAGGCGGAATGCATTCAGAGGTCATCCGCAGCCATCCGCTGTGGTACGGAAAATACGAGCGGCGTGACACTGTGCTCGTCCAGGATGGACCCGATAACGGTCTAATGGGAGGTATGATTGTGGCGCGAGTACTCGCATTCCTGTCATTCTCGCACAACGAGATCAAGTACCCATGCGCACTCGTTCACTGGCTCCTCCCAGTCGGTGACGCTCCCGACTCCACCACGGGTATGTGGATCTTGGAGCCCGAGGTGTTTGATGGCGAGAGGACTGTAGGCTTAATACACACAGACTGCATTGTCCGTGCTTGCCATACTCCCCCGTTTATGGTAGAGGTCGTCTCCCAGCAGATTTTGATTTCTCGTACTCACATCTCGCTTTCAAACGGTTTTACTTGAACAAATGGGCTGACTATCATGTACACGAATGTTATCCTTTGGTTTGAACAGTAGTGGCACGCGTGGAATATACAACAGTTTAGCTCGTCAATGATACTGACACACTGATGGCACTGAGCTCACTGACACTTCTGAGGTAAATTTCTTCGAGTTTGTCAGTGCGTGTCAGTGCACATCAGTGCGTCGGGGAATCGCCGAAGTACTGATGCAGAGGGGTGTTCTCGTCGTTCTCGTTAGTGTCGTTGCCTGTGTCCGAGAGACCCAAATGAGTCGACTCGGGGGACTGAGGGATTGCACCGAACGGTCGCCGAGGATGTGGAGTCGGGGGACGTTCACCCGTGTTCTCGTGGCATTCATTGACCGGAGGGCGCCCTCCGTAGAGCTCAGTCTCGTCGATAAAGGGTATGCCGTCAGCACGTAGCTGGGCCGCAGCCAGGCAAGCGTCCTGTCAATTACGATAGACGCGGATGAGGGCCCCGTCCATGTGCATTGCAAGGGCCGAGACTTTGGCATTACTGGCGTAGGCGCCGTCGATGCGGCTGTTGCTGACGACATACCAGGTGTGCGCATTCTCGAGCTCGATACGCTTTGCTTTGAACAGCGGGGGAAGCATCTCGATGGGACGTCTCGCAATCTGCGAGTAACATCCCGCGTAGAGGTTGTTTACACTGAGAAGCCACATGAGGGGGATCGGCTGGGTGAAGATTCCCCCTTTCATGAGGTTGGTGAGGGAGCGGATGTCGGGAGGAAGAGTAGGTGCCTCGGGTTCGTTCGCAGCGCAGGTCGACTCGGTGTGGCCTGGCTGGCGGTGATTGCAACGGGGGCAGCGATAGCGAGGGCAGTCGATGGTGCGGTGATATGGGGTGTCAGTACCCTGGCAGACAGTGCAGGGCGTGTAGTTGGTGACCATGCGGGCGAAGTCACGAGCATCAATGTTGGAAAAGGTGGGAGCGACAACGAAGTCGCGAGTGTACTGGACATCGGAGAAGGGAACCATGTTGCGAGCGATCATCTTCATCGCCGGGAAGGCCTCAAGGTCCTTGAATCGGCGCATCAATCGCCTCGCCGCCGCATCCCGTTGTTGGGCGTACATGTAGATGGTGTCCTTGATGAGATCCTGCTGGATCCAGACCTCGGCGGCGCTGGCGTAGAGGTCTGCGAGAGTGTCCATCGCAGAGAGTGTGTCGTCGGGGTTGTCAGAGAGAGGACCGTGTTGTTGGAGGGCCTCGCGGAAGGCCTGGGGGCGGAGAGGACCTGCGACACGAGGGGCCAGTTGAGGTGGCCGGTCGGGAGCGGTTTGAGGCAGAGGATGTGGTCGACGAAGGAAGAGGCGGGCGAATCGATGGAGGGACCAAACACGTTAGCCTCGGTGGAGGCCGAGAGGTAGGTCGGCATCGACCTTCGTGTCCTTTGGTCCTGACGCGACATTGGCAACGGGTGCAGAAGTGATAGTGGGGGTCGAGTGGGAGACATTGACGGCGGTTGAGTCCAGAGGTGTAGAGTTCAAGTTGTGAGACGATGAGGGCGCACATTATTTAGTGTGTCTAACCCGTTCGGAACGGTAGACCCGGAGTGAGATTTGCCCATTTGGAATGTTGACCCGGAGGCCGGCCGGAGCAGCCCCAGGGTCCAGCCGGAACGTTTGCAACGGTGCCATTGCAACGCTCCGGCCGGAGGGCATGGCTGGCTGGTCATCCACCGTCTCCAGCGTTGCGGCCGGCCTCCCCTGGAACCTTCCCGAGACGTTGCAACGGTCCGGCCGGAGGGTATGTGGGCCGGTCATCCTCTTTCCAACAGTCCGGCCGGAGCAGGCAGATTTCTGAGCTAAACGGAGTGGCCAGGCAGTTTACATTGCAAATGCTCCGGCCGGTCAGTAGATTACAATAAACATGGTACCATTAGCAACGGCCCGGCCGGAGTTCCTGCCAGAGCAATGTACACATTGCAACGGTCCGGCCGGAGCACATGGAATCAATTCCCAGCAATGCAAATGGTCCGGCCGGTCAGTCAATACACCACTGCAAATGGTCCGGCCGGCCAGTAGAAATGTGAGTGTCAATGGTCCGGCCGGCCGGATTTTTTCACCTTTCGCCGGCCGAAAATACAATGTCTCAGGCCGGGGGTACAGCCAAAACTCGGCCAAAGCAGCCAGCCATTTTGCCGGCTGAGCTTTTGCTTTGCCGACCGGGCATGGATTGTCCCGGGCCGAGATTGTTCAGATTGTCTCGGGCCGAAGATTTTCAGATTATCATGATCTCGGGCCGAAAGATTTTTGGCCGAAGCTTGGTGGTGAAAGTGGCCAGACATTTCACCTGCCAAGGGTTTGCTTCACCAATGGGCAAAGCATTGTCTCGGGCCAAAGAGTTGGGCATTTTCTCGGGCCGAAGATTTGGCCGAAGCTTGGTGAAAACAGCCGGGCTGTCGGATTGCCATATAAGGAAATTTGGTATTGACTGGTAGTACTTCATTGATAGACTATAGTATCAATTCCCTAGTGACCAAAGATGTCTAGTTAGGCCAGGATGTGCAAAACAAGATTTACTCACAGGCTTCTTTGCACAACAAGCTAATCAATTTCTGAAGCCAGTTTTCTTTTCCCACACTGTTTGACTATCTAGGATGTGTTGTTTCAATGCATAGAGTATATCCCCAACAGGAATAGTCTTATTCTTTGAAGCTGAATACAGGACAACAGATAAGGGGCATACAGGTATGGTACCGTGCTGAACAATGTTGACTCCTGCAGACAATCTACATTCAAAACAATGTTTCACCATCTAGAATAGTTCATTTCCTCACAAGGAATCTGTTCTCCAAAGGAATAGTCTTATTCACACAAGCTGAATGTGGTACAGAGTTAAGGGGATCATGCACTCCGGCCGGACCATCTCCTATGAGGATGAGGATTGGCCGGCCGGACTGTTACCAATGTAAATGTTTCTGTGGCAAGTGCAATGTGCATGCTGGTACAACATTTCAGTGTGACACCCAGACAGACAATAATCCAAAGTATGTCTCTCACAATATAATGCATATTCACCTTATCTTCATCCCCGAGTTCAGCTTCAAAGAATAAGACTATTCCTTTGGGAGACTTGCTTGTTGCATTGAAATGTGCTACTCTAGATTGTGGAACATTGTGGGGAAAGCATATTGGCTTCAGGAAGTGAACACAGTATGACATGTATACCCATACACCCTTGCCTTAACTCTGTACTACATTCAGCTTATGTGAATAAGACTGTTCCTTTGGAGGATTCACTCCCTATGGGTAAATGAACCATCAGAGGTTGTGAAACAGTGTTTTGAATGTAGATTGTCTGCAGGAGTCAACATTGTTCAGCACGGTACCATACCTGTATGCCCCTTATCTGTTGTCCTGTATTCAGCTTCAAAGAATAAGACTATTCCTGTTGGGGATATACTCTATGCATTGAAACAACACATCCTAGATAGTCAAACAGTGTGGGAAAAGAAAACTGGCTTCAGAAATTGATTAGCTTGTTGTGCAAAGAAGCCTGTGAGTAAATCTTGTTTTGCACATCCTGGCCTAACTAGACATCTTTGGTCACTAGGGAATTGATACTATAGTCTATCAATGAAGTACTACCAGTCAATACCAAATTTCCTTATATGGCAATCCGACAGCCCGGCTGTTTTCACCGAGCTTCGGCCAAATCTTCGGCCCGAGAAAATGCCCAACTCTTCGGCCCGAGGCAGTACTCAAATCTTCGGCCCGAGAAAATGGTCAACTTTTCGGCCCGAGACAATGCTTGCCCGGTCGGTGAAGCAAAAGCTCGGCCGGCAAAATGTCTGGCTGCTTTGGCCGAGTTTTGGCTGTACCCTTGGCCCGAGACATTGTGTTTTTGGCTGGCAAAAAGTCCGGCCGGACCATTTGTAGTGGTACAGCCTGAGGCCGGCCGGCTCGTTTGCAATGCTATATCTGTTGACTGGCCGGACTGTTTGCAGCGTGGACTGCCTGGCCACTTTGAATTCTGCCTGCTCCGGCCGCAACGTTGGGAACAAGGGATGACCAGCCGGCATACCCTCCGGCCAGAGCACTGCAACGTTGGGTGAAAGAGGCCGGGAGGATCGTTGAGAAGTGGGGGGGGGCGGCCGGGGTGTAGTCCGGCCGGAGCGTTGCAACGTCCGGTGAAAACAGGCCGGCCGCAGCATTGAGGAGGGGGGCGGGCTGCGACGCACTCCGGCCGGAGTGTTGCAATGTTTCATGAAAACAGGCCGGGTGGATCATTGGGGACAGTATACAGGGGTGGCAAGGCCGGCCGCAACGTTGGAGACGAGGCAGAGCCGGCCGGCATGCACTCCGGCCGGACCACTGGCAACGTGCTGGCAATGACAACGTCTGCAACGTTGACCCGGACCCCTCCGGCCGGAGCCGGCCGCACCGTTTCAGACGGCCAGATCTCACTCCGGGTTTACCATTCGGAACGTCAAATCTTACTCAGTAGGCTCAAGGGCGTCGTAGTAGTCCCTGAGTGAGAGATCATCGTAGGCGGGGAAGCGGGCATGGGAAGGTCAACAGTCGCTGTCGTCGTCTTGGGGTCCGAGTCTCACCACTCCAAGACGATGCTGCTCTTTATACTCGTAGAGGAGCCAAAGGCGATGCTGGCGCTTGTAGTCATCCAGGATCTCTTGCCCCGTCTCCATGATGTTTGACTCCGGTTCCCATGTGTTTTTGCTCGAAGGGTATCCTTTCCATTTCACGAGGTACCGGTGTCGGGAAGCCGTGCCCTGGTGTCCCAATATGGCTTCAAATTCCCATCGTTCTTCACCTTCTACTTCGTCCGGAGGTGGTTCTGTATAGGTCGGTGTGTAGGTTGCGAGTCTCCCGGGTCGGAGAGTTGTTAATGTTACAGCGTCTCAGTCTCGACCTCGTGGTACTCGACTTTTATATTGATATACCTGTTAATGTTACAGCATCTACGAGGCACAGGATTAGTGTCCGTCGTCCGTGAATACTGCTACAGAAACGGCTTACCTCAGTCTCGACCTCGTGGTACTCGACTGAGGTGCCTCCAGTCTACGCGCGTCCGTCAAAGTCCGTTCGTACGTCACGTGTCCATGTCTAAACTAGCGCCCGCGTCTAGGTCCTACCTCAACACTCCCCCGGGGCCGAGACGCGCATGTACTGTAAGTGTTTCTGTAGCGTAGGTAAACTAAGGGCTTTCGTAAAAATGTCTGCGGGGTTCTCGGCCCCAGGAATATGAACAATCTTCAACAACTTACCACGGATTGCCTCTCGCAACCAATGGTACCTGATATGCAGGTGCCTCACCCGCGAGAAGTTCGCAGATCGCGTCGCCAAGCTCTCGCCACCAGCACTGTCCATCCGGATGACGATGGGACGTTCCACGGGGACGTAGATGTCGTCCATGAAGTTCGCGATCCATACGCCCGTCTGCCCGGCGTGCACAGCGGCAATGTACTCCGCCTCGGTAGTCGACAACGTCACCACTTCTTGGCGTCGCGAGCTCCATGAGACAGGTCCTCCAGCCATCATCACGACGTGCCCGTGCGTCGATCGTCCCGTGTCTTGGCAGTCGCCCTGCGAAGCTTCTGAGTAGATGGTGGGTTGTAATCCCGCTACGTGTTTCCCGTCGTAGGTAATGCCGTAGTCGAGAGTTCCTCCAATATAACGTAGTACCCGTTTGAGCGCACGCCAGTGATCATATGCAGGGTTCGCCATGAATCGGCTTAGCAGCTGAACGGGATACGCGAGGTCAGGTCGAGTTGCAACGGCAAGATACATGATCGCGCCCAAGGCCTCTCGGTACGGGATCTTGTCCATCTCTGCTCGCTGCTCTGCGGTCGCCGGCTCAGAGTCCTTCAACAGTTTGGTGCCTGGTTCAAGCGGTGTACGGACTGGATTCGAGTCCTTCATCCCGAACCGGTCGAGCACTCGCTCCGCGTACGCGCGTTGCGACATTCGCATCGTCTTGAGCTCCCGGTCCCGCTCGATCAGGACACCGAGCATGTATTTGAACTCGCCTCCCCCGCTGAGCTGGTACCGCACAGCAAGCTCGGATCGCACGTTTGCCAGGCCAGTAATGGAGTCTGCGGCTTCACCGATGTCATCCGTGTACGTCGTAGTGATTGCCAGTCCTTCCTCGTCAAACCTAGCCCGCACGCACTCGTCCGCTCGCGAGCACGAGAACCCGAGCTCTTGGTACGTCTTGTCGAGTTTCTTCCACCAATTGTTGCCTGCCTGCATGCATCCATAGAGCCCTCGGACCATTCTGCAAACATGAGTCGGAAATTCCTTAGAGACGTTGTGGGGCAGGCCCACATGGGAACAGCGGTACAAGCCCGGAACGACACACGCACTCAGGCCCAGGCAATGCGGAGCGAAGCGACATCCATTGGCGGAAGGACGACTCGGCGGAAGGACAACCAATATAAGAACACGCGGGAGGAAGACGGCTACAGTACATGGACAACAGGCTCCTCCCCCATGGCGTCCTCAACCTCTCCTTCCTCCAGATCATCGACATCCCTAACAGGCGCGAACCACAGGCGGCGAGGTACCCCGGAGTAGCCGTCTGGGACGTAGACTCCCTCCGACAGGCGGGCGTGCAAGTCGCGGACGCCGCCCTCGACCGTATTCAGGCCCCGGGCGATACGAACAGCTTCGGAACGAGCGTCGCGGTTAGCGGTGCGGCACTCGTCTAGGAGGCCCTGGAACCGAGTAAGGAGGCTGTCGAGGCTGTCAGACGAAGCGCGGTAGGACGAGAGCTGTAAGGGACGCTCCAAGTAGCGAACCGGAAGGAGGGGACGACCAATCTCTGCGTTGGCCTGCTCGGCGGTGACCCGATTCGGGGCCCAGGCGATCAAAGGGAAGGGTTCGCCGATGTAGCTATGCTGCGACGGAAGAGTGAGGAAGACTTGGTTGAGGTACTCGATCAGCTCCTGCACGTCGGGATAGCGGCGGACAAGCGGAAGGGAAGCATCGCCGTGGGCAACCGCACGGGAACGAGAGTCGAAGAGCATTCGCTGCGGGGGACGGCTTAGAGGGGGATCAGGACGAAGGACGAAGGAAAAGACGCACGATTAACCACCGAGCTCCGTGGGCCCAGGCAAGCCATTCGTGGTCGCTATCGGGGTTCAGGCGAGGCTTGACAACACGTTTGTCGCGGAGAAGATCGATGAGGCGGTAGAACCGGGTGGTGAAGACAATGGTGGACGGGTTCGGGGGAGCATCGGCAGGCATCGCAGACGGTGGGGAAACACTGAGAGCTAGGCGGAGGGGGCGGAAGGAGCTGGAGAAGGGTATAGCGAGGCGTCGGAAGGAGGCGGAGGGAGCGGAAGGAGCTGGAGAAGGGTATGGCGAGGGGTCAGAAGGAGACGCGGCGGGTGCGGAAGGAACGGGAGAGGAGAGGAACGGGTGCCAGCGAGGGTAGGACGTGGGAAAACGATGGCGGGAGGAGACTTAGAAGGGGAGACGGAGGGAGGGAAAGAGTTAGTTACCTACCACTACCTCTCAGGACTCCGTATCTAGGTTGCGACGGGCAATCTCAGGCTTCAGGTCTCGTATCAGGAGGAACTTCAGGCTAAGGAAGGTCATCAAGGTTAGGCTCAGGCTCAGGAAGAAGGACGCGACAGGTTAGGACCGTCGGAAGGAAAATTGTCGAGCGCAGCAGGCTTAGGAAGGCCAGTATACGTCTACGGACAGGGCAGGCGAAGTGTTTTTCGTATCGTCTCGACCTCCCTCTCCTCCGCGAGGTATCACAGACCTCGTTCCCTCCCTCCGCAAACCGTCAACTCGCACCAACGACCCCCGCCCATCGTTTTCACCGATACCTAGAATTCCCTTCCGCGTCATCCACGCACCGGGGACTCGCAATCACCACAACGTACCCGGCCGGCTGCTCCATATATATTGTTTCCTCCGGGGACGCGTTGAGATACACTTTCTCGACGTCGTCCTGGCCCATCTCCATGTCTCGTACGACGGCGGTAGCACATACAACTCGCAGGGACTCGAACCGCACAACAGACGCGTGAGTCTCGAAGTAGTCAATGCCGGGGATTTGCTGGAAGCCCTTCGCCACCAGCCGTGCATTTGGTCTCCATCTCCCATCCGCTTCTTCATCCCCGTCGAACTTGTGTGCATACACCCATTTGTTCCCGATGATGTTCATGTCTGGCATACGAGGTACGAGTTCCCAGGCGTTGATCTTCGCCAGCCCATTGATTTCACTGTCCATCGAGGGTGTCCAGATCTCAGGTTGGCGGCTTGCCTCCTTGTAAGACTCCGGCGTCTTTCCTCCACGGTACCATCGTGTGTCTCCGTCCTGACCTGCGGAAGACGCCTCCGTGAACATTGCAATGTATGCGCCTTCGGGACTTTGGTTTCGGCCCACCCCTCTGTCATTGTCTGCAGCCCAGGCCTCGCCTTTACCGCGTGCCGCCTGCTCTCTCGCATCCGATTCTTGCGACTCGCGCAGCTTCTGGCTAGGTACCGTGGTCCTTGCAGATCGACGTGGGGCGTCTGCTCCCTCAGCATCAGGAAAAACACATTTTACTTGGCCGGCTTGACCAAGGCAAATGGGATATTGGTGTTGCTTGGGTGACTTGACCAGGTCGCCCAGCTAATCTGTATGACTTGAGCCACTTATAAGCCTTTCAAGACGTTTTTTTATTCCATCTTACTTCTTCAAGCATGTCTGGTGTCCTTCGCTGTTCTCACCAAGCCACTACAGGTAGCCCAAGTAAGGCTAAATCCTTCTACATCTTGAGCATCTTGGGATTGAGCTCAGTAAATATTGATATATTTCATAGTCTATCTAAGTTGTACGTTGTACATGGCAGACTCATACTAATCCTACTCAAAAATGAGAATGCGTTGAAATGATCATACCTTGTAAGAACAGAGGCAAGTATGCGATCAGGAACACCAGGAAGATACAGATGATACACCTATTAATCCACTGGAACACCGGGCTGCGGTTGTAGCAGCCCGCCACGCCGATGAACGCGCCGGACGATGTGTATTTGCAAAGCGTCAGTTGACCCTTGAGCGTTCCGAGGTAGACCACTATGAAGAGTCAGCTATGTGTTGCAGTGAACAACGGGGCCTGCTTACTCGTCGTGATGAAGATCTGCACGGACAACATAACCAGCATGTTATGGATATGGAAACCGGGATGACCGTAGTAGAACATCAGGAAACGGTCGATGGGCAGCTGCGTTCCGAGGTAGTAGTACTCTGGGCTGAGCATCTGCTCGCCCATACCCATGCCGCTCTTTGTCTGGAAGTTGAGGATGGTGCCGAAACCGAGATCACGTCCTTTGCCACACTGGTAGTACTCGGCGTGCTTGATGCGACCACCACGACCGAACACGTTCATGCCGGCGTAGATATCCTCGTTCAGGTGCAGACCCTTCTGAGCCTTCGAGACACCACCGCGCGTCGTCATGTAGAGCGCATTGAAGAAATCAGGGTGACCGTGGTGCAGTTTACCGCCAATGTAAGCAAGGGAACGCGCCGTGAGAGTGCCGAAAGTCTGTTCCTTGCCAGCGGCCAAGTCGCCGAGAATACCGATGTTCTCCGAGAAGATGTACTCTCGCGCACCGACAATCGCGACGGGGTTGCGGACGTAGTCCTTCTGACCCCACTGCGCGTACGGGCTCTGGCTCGACACAGAGTACTCCTCGAATTCACTGAGGACGTTACGGATCTTGAGACATTCCTCGAGGTAGTTGTCCTGGTTCGCATCGATGAGCTTGATGTACTCGCCACGGTAGAAGATGATCGCATGGTTCTGGTTGTCGGATTTTCCGTCACCGAGAATGGGGTTACCGGGGAGCTCGATGCAGAACTTCGGACCACAACGGCCGGTCTCAGGGATGAACTCGGAGTGCCCGTCGATGAGCGCGGAGAACAGGCGTACCTCGCCGCCCTCCTTGCGCGAAGCCTCTTCCTTGAGATAAGCGATCTGCAGGTCGGGGTATGCACAAAGGAGGAACTCGGCATTCTCCTGCTCCTCCCGGTTGAACTTCGAGTACCGCTGCATCGAGACGACGAACTTGAACTTGCGACGCGCCATACGCTCCAACTCGCGCTCGAGCTTGTCCGTGTTTCCGCCGAAGAGCTGAACGACTTCCGGGTTCTCGACTCGGTAGAGGAGTTTGATGGCCTTCGCGTAGTTCATCATGCCGGAGACGGTACGGTAGAGCGTCTGTGCACGGAGCCACGCTCTTGAACCCGATGCAGTAGAACGGCAGATCGTCAGCCTTGGACTGACCCTTCTCGTCGGTGCCGAAGGGGCTCGTGCCGTTGTAAATTGCTGACTCCTCGGCGAGGATCTTGGTATCCTTCACGAAGTTGTCCCACTCGACCGGGTGCAGCTGCTTGAGGTACTCAAGTAGCGTGACTCGAGTGTTCTGATCCTCTTCCCTGATGATCTCACGCAACAAGAGAAGGATCTAGAGAATCAATGAGCACCGACGGTTCATATCACCATAAAGAGCACACTGACCTTCTCGCTATAGTGAGGTGTCAAGACCGTGAACGTCGGCATCACATCGACAGGGATAGGCTCCGGGACCGCGGTCGTCAGCGACTGCGCGAAGAACGAAATGCGACGCTCTGCCTCGCTGCCGGGAGTGAAGAACTTGCCCTTCAGGCCCTTGTCGCTCTGCGAGATGAAGAAAGGCGGGACCCGGAGACTGCGACGACCGTCGTTGCCGACGTCGACCTGGTGGTAGAGCAGCTTTTGCACGTGGTCGATCGAGAGCAGGTGCTCGCGGTACATCGAAATGATGATTGCGTTCCAGATCTGCGAGACGAGCATCTACAATCCGGGGTGCGTCAGCCAGCAAACTCACGTTGTAAGCAAACAGATTTCACGAACCTTGGGTTTGTACTTCGTCTCCATGTCCGCCGTAGCAAGTAGCTTGGCGTAAATCCGCTTCGGCAGCCGTGTGAAGATGTCCTTCCACGGCATCCAAATCGACAACCCGAGCGCGAACGAGCGCACGATACTGAGGACGGTGTTCCAGATGATCCACCACAAGAAGGTATCCAAGAATCCAAGAAAAAGAGGACGAGATCCATCAGGTACATGATCGTGAGCGTGAACGCCGCCTGGTTCCTGCAGAGCACATTTCCGAAGTACCTGTCATTGCAGTTCTGGATCTTCATCCCGACCGTGACCTGGATCGTGGTTTTGAACGAGAGCGTGAGGAAGAAATATGACTCCGTGTACTTGAGGCCGAAGATCAGCACCCAGACGAGGATAGACGTGAGCCGGGCGGAGTGGGAGAGGCCCAGATAACTCGCTGTGAACGTCTGGCTCGCGAGGTACTTCCGAGACTTGCCCGCCACGCGATCACCAAACATCCGTCCCGAAGGCAGAATGGCGAAGAGGAGCGTCGCGACGACCGAGATGAAGAATTGGACGATACCGAGGATGAGCGCCAAGGAGCCGCCCGGAGAGTTGCTCTCCGCATAGGTCGTAGGACCACCGGTGAGTGCGAGAGTGATGAGCAGGAAGATGAGACAGACGAAGGGCGAGCGAGACAGAGGGCAGACGAGACGACGGGTGAGCGAGACAGACGGTGAGAGAGACAGAAGGTGAGAGAGACAGACGGCGAACAAGACAGACGGCGAGCAAGACAGATGGCAGATGGGGCGAGAGGGACGTCAGGCAAGAACGGCCGAGTAGGACAGCCGAGTAGGACAGAGCGAGGGCACAAGCGAGCGGGCAGACCGACAAGGGCGTGATGAATGAGAGGACAAACGATTAAATTGGGTACTCAACGTTGCTTACTCTCTACCTAGGCTTCCGTCCCCCCTGCGACTTTTCGACTTCCCTGCAGCGGGGCGTGCTGGCCGCCGACTGTCCCCTTTGCCCTCCGCCTTGCCTGCCCTCTGCTTCGCTTTCCCTTTCCGGGGATCGCTCACCGGCCCACCGTCCTCCTCGTCCTTCTTGTGCTGTTTGCTGGTACGACGGACACTCGTCTCTGCCAGAGCGGCGCGTTTTGCGAGGGTACGCTGTCAAGTATTCGACCATTGTCCATATCAAAAAACTCAAGACTCACCGGCGTGCTCAAAATGGGCGCCGCGTTACTATGCGCTTCATCGTCTTCGCTGTCCGACGACACCAAGTCGATGACAATGGGACCTGGTGCACGACGGGTGGTCGCCGAGTGACTGAGGTCCGTGGATTGCAGCGGGCGCGGGTGAATGCGCGAGGGCTGTGGTGTGCGTGAGCGATCCTGGCGTGAGGCTAGAGAGGCGTTGAGCAAGGATGGATGCGTGGAATGCAGATGCGGAGGAAGGGACGCTATGGGCCGGAATACTCACCGAGGTCTTGCCCACGAGCCCCTCGGCGAGGGTGAGTAGGCGAGAAGGTGAGTCGACAAGTGGACAAGACGGAAAGTGGACGAGGAGACGAATCGGTGAGGGAGGGCAGGTGAGCAGGCGAATGAGTGGGCGAGCTAGCACTGGGCCGATGAGTACACTTCGGTGCTCAGACGCGGTATGAACTGCAAAACAATCTATTAGCAACAGGCAGACAGTGATCGTCAAGATGGCTCACCAAGCGGGCAAACTAGCAGAAGAGTAAGGACGAAGACAATGGACCATGCCCTCTCGCGGTGCACTATACTCATCTTGCTTTCCATCGTCCTTCTCGCTTGCTCGGTCCGCGCGTGTTACTGTACGATGGAGTCGCATGAGGTGTCGTAGTCGCCTGATGTATAGTCGGACCTTGAGTGGTGGCCCAGATATTTGAGTAGAGGAGTGAGTACTGAGGCCTGAGGAGCGTGAACGGTTGGCGAGAGAAGTCCTGAGCGCTGAGCGCCTGGGTCATTGAATGCAGGCTCAGATTCCCATACAAGCTGTACTGATACTATAACACAATCAGTGTAGTAACAATACAATGAGCGTAGTCAAAATACAATGAAGTCCAATACTGGTACTTGTACGTCTATCAGTAAAGTCAGCAGCACTACCACAGAGTCTGGTACGCGTATTTACTAGCCCAGTTGTTCAAGAGAAACCTAGAAGCTAAGTCAAGTACAGTATCGGTGGTCCAACTGTCAGGAATAAGATTTTCTAAGTGGTCTACAGAGTTAGGAATAGGAAACCGGGGGATTAGTTGACAGGATTGGCGGATGGATGCAAGGGGTATAATTTCTCCTGGAGGATTACCGTCCGCACGAGGTGCCATCGGTTTGACTTCGTACATGAGGTGGGAGGGATCCGGACTCGCAGCGAGCTTTGAGTACCATTCGACGTACGCTAAGGGGCCAATGTCGGCCCACTCTGCTGGTGCCGACATCTCCTGGTGATTCGTTAGGTTCCTGACCTTCTTCGGAAGTCGGAAGATTACACGCAGCCGGCCTATGCGTGTCCCTGTATGTAGTGTTAAAACTAGAATAAATGATCAGAATTTGGGACGCACCTTGAACTCCCGTTGCCTCAGCGTCGTCGGCCTGCAATACCACGACGGTATCAAATCTTGCAGGCCATCTGGAAGACATTGGTCTTGCAATTGCGCGGTCCTGTGCTTCCTGGCTGTCCGTCAGAGGGACATTGTGAAATTTGAACGCGTGGTAGACGTCAACTCCGGCGAATGGGAGGTGGGGCATAGCATGTTCGAGTTCTCGCGAGTTGAGCTTACGACCGAGTTTGAGAGAATAGACGTACTGCGCGATGGCATTGGAAAAGCCTGGCGCGTTATGCTTCTCCTCGATGGAAAAAAGCGCCTGCTGTTTGACGGACGGGTGCTTGGGTAAGAGGATGCTCGGATGCTTGAGTGTTGCTGGATCACTTTCTGGGACGGTAGAGTCGGAGACGGGAACGTCTGGATCATCTGAGTCATACGCATCGTCCTGTGAGTCGGGATCCAGTCTTGTTTTCAAGGTATCGTACATCGCGACCTTCTCGCGCCGGACGAGCCAGCGTGTCATCTGCGGTCTTGCATCTCGGTGGTTCGACGCTCTCCAGGCCTTCTTTGCGAAGTCGATGTGAAGCCTCTCGAACATTTCGGTATTATAGTTGTCGGTGGTGCCGAGGCGTCGAATAGCGTCCATGTAGTGTAGCAGTGAATGGAACTTCGGTATCTTGAGGTGCTCGCGTAGGTTCAGATCGACAAGAATCTTCTTGTGCTTGTGGTAGGTCTTCAGGGCGTCATCCATGTAGCTGAGGGTCGTGTCGTCGTGAGTAGGATACTGGGCAAGATAGATGAAATCAAGGAGAGCGCGGAAGGTAAGGATCGCGTCCTTGGGGATGCGGCCTACCAGGCAACCCAGTAGGACACGGGCCATGTCCTTCCGCTCGCTCCCGGAGACCTGGGACAGGGCGGATATGCCCTTCTTGAAGTGCCTGGTTCCGTACGCGGGCGGGAGCGTGCGTATGCGGCGGTCCAGCTCCTTCTCACCGAGGAGGTCCGTGCACCACTCGACGACGTGTTTGAACACGCCTTGATAGAGCTGGTGTAACACGTCAGGTGTTACAGCAGAGTTGATGTCGGCGAATGGGAGATCAGCCCAGAAGGGCTTGATGCTGTAGCCGGAAACGTTAAAAGTCTTGCACGTTTTGAGAAATGCATTCGATCCCTTCTTCGACCGTTCGCCAGCCTTGCGGAGTACGTCCAATGTCCAGCGCTGAGTTCGAGAAGTTCGCGCAGCCGCTTCGTCAAGTCCATCTTCCGGACACTGGCAGACTGGGCATGTACCGTACTTGGCACACGACACCAAGCATTGCTCGGGGTAGTCCGCCACGTACGCCGCGAGCACTGGATGCACTCTGCGTACCTTCCCATCGCCGCCGGTCACGTCTATTCCGTTCTTCCCTGCCTCAATTAGCGGCTCGAGGATGATACGTACAGACGCGTGGAAGAGTTGATGTACCATCGCACGACGTTTGTTCTCGGAGATGGAGGAGTCGATCTTGTCGCATGAGAGGTAGCCGACGAGCACGCACGCGTGCTCGCTCGGCTTGCGACGGAGGTCCTTTGGTATGTTGCCCAAGTAAGGTATACTGGGTAGGCGGCCTTGTTCCCAGAGAATTGCGTTAGCTGGGTCTTGTCAGTAGAGATGATGACCGGTGCGACAGCGGCGCCGCCAGGTAGAAGGCTCTGCAGTGAGGGCGCAGTTAGGAAGTAGTACGTAGAATAGAAGTAAATGAACGCACCTGGATAGCGTTCCACCACTGCCCAGTCCACATCTCCGAGTAGATGCGGTTCTTGCGGGTCGCATTGGAGAAGATCCGGCTGGGCCTGTAAACAATGCGGTGCGCATGAGCTGGGTTGCCTAGAAGAGCCTTGATGGCCTGGATAATGTCCCTGAACTGGAGAAGGTGTTGCTCTCCGGGACAGTCCTTAAACGTGAGCCAACGTTCCTTCCACTCGGCTCGTTCGGGAATCGAGTCCACCTTCTGCAGCAGAGCGCGGTTGTTGTGGTAAGACAAGCCTAGCTGATGCCGGAACTGGAACTAATGTCAGAGTCTATTCTACACATGAATGGCTGAGCGTACTCACTCGGGGTATCCGGAGCAGACGGTCTATCGCGCCTTGGCCAATGCCCTCTTGAATGAGCCATTTAGCCAGCTGCCAGTCCATCTGAGACTCGAATGGCTCCCAGAGCCAGCTTGGAGGAGTCCCGTTGTCTGGCAAACATGGCTGGTTAGTGTATGTGAGAACACGGTATCTAACGCAAGACGCACCTTCACCTGCCAAGACGCCGTCAAAGTGCTTCCTCCAAGCCTCTCTGACCGTCTCTCCCTCGCCTATCACCTTGCCTGCATCCTTGTCGACATCCTCTGTCCTCTCATCGTCTTCGTCATCCAGGGATATTGCCGTCTTTCGAACAGAAGAGGCCGCGGAAGTGTTCTGCCGCCTACTTGATCCCGCGACCGGAACGAAGGTGTACAATTCTTCGTTCTCTTCGTCCTGTTCATCCTCTTCCTCGTCCTCTTCCCCTGTTCATCCTCATCCTGGTCCGCACCTCCTTGATAGTTCTGGCTGTCGTCCTGCACACTCTGAGCTGTCACGGTCACGTTGTCTAGTGCGTCTTCTTGGTGTGGTAGGTCCGGTAGTTGTCTGTCTGAGCCTGTTTTCAGAGTCTCAGATCGTTAGTCAGTCAGCATGCGTCATCAACAGGCGCACCTGAGGGACCGTCAATGTTGTTCGTGTCCATGTCTGCTATATTGGCATGACTGATGCCGGTACAGACAGTCAGTTTCACAAGCAGTGAGGTATGAGGCGGGGAAAAACGCACCTCCTCTGTGTCCTTCCTTTGCGGTGCTTCTTCCGCCGACGGCGCTGACCACCAGCCGCCGCTCGCTCATCGACCGAGTCCGATGCACTTGACATGTCGTCAAAGAGTAACGCCTTCCGCTTACCCTTCTTGTACCATGCACACCGCCTGCTCGTTGTTTGGTGTGCCGACAAGCCCTGCATGGTGTCGAAAGGTTGGTTGCACGCCTCACATGTCTGGGCGAGCAAGTCGTCCAGACATCGCAGTCTCTTCCGCTGCCTGCCCATGCTTTGCAAGACTTGCAAAGATCAGCGTATTTTTAGAACAACCTCAGGCCATGGCACTCACCGGTATGATGTGATTCACAGAGAAGGTGCAGGTAAGAGGAGACGTGTCGGAGAGTTGTCTCCGGCGGCTCACAGTTTTATTCGCTTTACGTCTTGCACGGTGTCACAGCGGCCTTGCCGTCAAGGCACACAGCGCGGGAGCGCGGGAGCGCCTAACTCGATGTCAAGTACGCGTCCCTTGGGAGGCTCACTCTTGTACCCTCACCTACCTGAGTTACAAACGCTCTTCTCCAATCCTGGCATGTCCGTTTGGGCTTCAGCAACGAGCCGTGTCCGTATGTTTATTGTTTTCCATTCCCTTACAAGCGCTTAGTACTAATCAAGGA